TAAGAAAATTCAGGCACAACAAAAGAAAAGTAACAATATGTCAATACGATTTCTCAGGTTTATCTTTAGATCTCAAAGCGTGAACTAATTGTATTTTTAGAATACACAGTGCATAATACATGAGAGAGTCAAACATTTACATACTTGATGTTTGGTCCCATGTAAGGCCGAGTTGGAAATCCACCATGCCTGAATATGTAAACTTTTTGAATTTCTAAAGCATCTGACCAGGCTGAGCACACAAACTCCATCAACTCATTTTGTTCCCCCTTCCAAATATCAACTAGCAAGCTAATGTGAAGCTGCACTTCTTCTCCAGTACTTTCACCACCAGATTTTGGAGCAAAGACTGAGCCATCAAACATTGTAGCCTCAATTTTAATATTCTCGTCCTCTGCAGATTTGCCCCTCAATGTAATCCACTGCTCACCAGGTCGATCTTCCACCATAAATCTATCGAACTCTGCCACAGGCTTTATAACAGACAAAAAAATGCATAAATAAAAGGAAAAAAATAGGCAGAAATGAAATTAGTTAACCCTGAGAATTAGATAATTTATCAATGATACCATTTCAAAGAAAGCTTATAAAGTGCATGTTTGGGAAAGCTTATAATTGCTTATAAGCAGGTAAAACTCTATTTATAAAGACACATTCCATGGGACCACAACTTTTACCTAATGTTTAACCATACATTCCTTGTGACCCGCTGCTTATAAGCACTTAAAAGCTTAGCCAAGTGAGCACAAATTCCACTATTCATAATTATTAAACCATGAAGCTCAAAATCATGCAAAGACGCTTCAGCACGGATTGCATAGATATTGGACTTAAAATCAGCCATCTTTGTCCTGCTGCAGCTGCAGCTGCATGTGATGTCATTGTTATTTATTTTCCTTCTACATAGCTTCTTGATTATTGCCATATACTACCCCAACAACAACCTTTTACCTTGGTTGGCAAATTGTATATTCCCCGGAGACCTAACCAGAGCCTCGTAGATCTCTTCATCAAAGGTATTTCATAGTGAGATTGGAATGTGATAAGCCCCCTATACGATTTACATATTCTAGAAGGGGCAAGAAGGGAGGGATAACAGAAGTCGTTGGGGAGCATGTGCTGGGGGAAAATCAGTTAGAGAAATAACTATA